AATTGTATTTCTGTCTGGCCTCACAGTCTTAGATCTATAGTCTATATTACCATGAGTTAAGGATTTCTACATGACATCTTAGAGCTAAGGAGGTTCTAAGAATCTCCCTGCTCATTTCCTTATTTCCTTTGTATTTTAGATGAGAAAATGGAGACCAAAGGGGCTTGGAAAGACTCTTCTTTGCCTCAAATTCTCTATCCCAATTCTGCCATATTAAATGTTTCTGATTAATATTGGGGGAATTTATAATCCTTTAAAAAATCACAAATGTATTTGTTTCATGAAAGGGACGTATGTGCAAATAAACCCCCAAACACAAAAGGACCCAAGAAACCAAAGAGCGAGGCAGACAAATCCCGTTTGTTGGTATAGGTGATATTACTGGGAACTTAGAGAGAAGGAGCATGCTCTTGGGCAGCCGCAGGACAGGCAGATATCTGTGCCGTTATTCCCAAGGCTTATGTGCCCGGGGAAAGGGTATACGTGCTTCACAGGGAATGCCTAAGAATTTGCTAAAGGGCAGAGTTTGCGGTAAGTACATGCTCTTTCACAAAGAACAATAGGTAAGCTGGAAATCTTAGAGGTATTCCCAGAACTGGGGGTAATCAGAAGTCAGCATATGGATCAGCATCCAGGATAGAATACTTGGACCTCCACAGCATCCCAACCTGCACACTGTCGAAACAGCCTTTGCATAATTAAAAGTGATGAGAGGATCTAGCCTGACTGATTCCATCTTGCTTCTAACATTGCAGGCTAAATCGTTTTATCATTTTATTTTTATTTTTTTGCTTATAATAACACAGAGGCCAATGCCGAGATAACTATGAGAGGAATTTAGTTTACGGTTAAATTTTGAGGCAAGGAAAACTGACCTCCCTGTCTTCTTACTCAGAGATAGAAACTGCATTCATAATGGTAAGGGCTTGAACTCTGTTATAAAATAGGCATGAACAATGAATGACCTGTCACTTAGCCTGCTTTTCTTTTTTTTTTTTCTTAATTGCATTTTAGGTTTTGGGGTACATGTGCAGAACATGCAAGATAGTTGCATAGGTACACACATGGCAGTATCGTTTGCTGCCTTCCACTCCTTCACCCACATCTAGCATTTCTCCCCATGCTGTCCCTCAAGCTGTTTATTGCAGTGTCATGTAACCAGGGGGTCACAAGATTTATAACTTCTCTAACCACCCCAATGGATAACATTGCAATTGTGAAACCTAAGAAGTGGTCTTTGAGATAGTTTTTAGATTTAGCACTTCAGCTGACCAAAAGCTGCCCACTAGTCCTGAGACCCCCTTCCAGGGACAGACTCAGCTGCCTGAAGGCAGTTTTAACAACCCTGTGATTTCATCAACTCTTTCAGTTCCCCAGCCCCGACTTGCCACAGTCCCCTCAAAACCCCCCGACCTCTGATTCTCAGGGAGCCAGGTTTGAGGAGTCTCTGCTTTCCTCACTTGCCTGGCCCTGTAATAATTCACCTCTTTCTTTGCTGTCATTCCTGTTGTTTCCAGTGCATTTGGCTTTCTGAGCGGAGGGCAAGATGAACTTGTGGAGCTGTTACACCTTCATAGAGAAGTGAGGCAAAGGGATGACCAATGTCCCACAGAGCCTCTCAAATAGTCTCGCTCCCCACCCACTCTCTGCCCAAGGGTCTGACCTTCCTCACATCCAGTGTCCAATCCCCTCTCCCTTGTTGTCTTGTGGTCTTGGCTCAGGTAATGAGAGGCCTGGGCAGGAGGAATGAGACAGGGGTATCACTTCCTTACCCTCCTCAACTAAGGATGGCTCCAGCAACCCTGTCCTCCCTCCCACCTACAGGCTTAGGATGATCCCAAGTCCCCATGGTGGTGTTCCCTGGGGACTTGAGCATCCTTAGAAGGTTTCTTAACTGAGCCCACACTGTGAAGAGTCAAAATAGTATGGACGTATATATTGTGTAACTATTGTGCAAATATTCTGTCTGACTGCCGTTACTGCTTGAGGCTGGCTCCATAAACAGGAGTCCTTTGGCGGGAAACAAGAGGGAGGGCTAATAAATGGGTGAAGGGAGAAAGTTGAAAATCCCAAATGTCAGGGGCTTAGCCTCTTTAACAACAGAATCTGCTAAGTTAGTGGCTTGAGTCACATTGTCATGCAAGGCTTGGTTCTCCAAGAAAACGCTATAGTCTTCTGGGAACCTTGTGATCAGAGTAGGTGCCGTCTTTGCATCTTGGCCAACAAGTGGGTCACCGCAACCTTGGAAATTGGGATATTTTTCTTTTGGATAGGATCCAGCATATCACTTAGAATTGCTTGAACCGAAAAACAAATACTGCAGGTTCTCACTCATAATTGGGAGCTGAACAATGAGAACACATGGGCACAGGGAGGGGAACATCACACACTGGGACCTGTCGAAGGGTGGGGGAAAGGGGAAGAAGAGCATTAGGACAAATGCCTAATGCATGTGGAGTTTAAAACCTAGATGATGGGTTGATGGGTGCAGCAAACCACCATGGCACATGTATACTACGTAACAAATCTGCATGTTCTGCACATGTATCCTAGAACTTAAAGTACATTTTTTTTAAAAAAAGAAAAGAATTCCTCTAACAGATAGTGCAGCTCCATTGCATCCCTTTATCCACAGTTTCCTATATACATAGCTAGGCATGGGGGATATTCCCAATCTCATCCACCTTAATTGATAGAAAATGTTAGAGTGTTGGTTAGAAAACAGGGATAGAGTCATAATTATAGCAATTGGATTTGGCCAACCAGTCATGTCAGAAAAAGAATGCTTTTCATGTTTAGTTCCTATTGTATTTGGAGGCAATGACAAATCAAAAGTAAAGTTTGTCCATATTTTTACCCACAAAATACAGTGTCAACATTATTCTGAAATGGCAAAGTATGGGTATAGTGTGTAGCTCAGAGAATGAACTGTCTCATCCGTGGAGTTGTTTCTTGTGAGGACGAGTCTCTGGTGGAGGAGGTGGGGTGCAGCCGGCTGCAGAGGGCAAAGTGAAAGCATGCAGTTCACTCATCACCAAAGCCCTTCCTTGGTCCAATTTTCTGAGGGATGCTTAAGTTTCCATATTAAAATTAGGAGGTTTGGAGGTTGTGCATGGTGACTCATGCCTGTAATTCCAGCACTTTGAGAGGTCAAGGACAGCAGATCATTTGAGGCCGGGAGTTCGAGACCATCCTGGCCAACATGGTGAAACCTGTCTCTACTAAAAATACAAAAATTAGCTGTTGTGGTGGCATGTGTCTCTATTCCCAGCTACTTGGGAGGCTGATGCATGAGAATTGCTTGAACCCGGGAGGCAGAGGTTGCAGTGAGCCTCGATCATACCACCGCACTCCGGCCTGGGCAACTCTGTCTCAAAACAACAGCAACAACAAAGCAGGAGACTTAGACTTAGGCTTCGTCGTATTGCCTTTCTGAGGAGAGATTCCTTGGCTGGTTTCTGGGAAGGGGGTCTAGGCTGTGTCCCGTGAGTCTCCTCCAGCAGCACTGCCACCTCCTGAGCAGATGTGCTTATCACATTTGGCAGTCCCGTGAGTCTCCTCCAGCAGCACTGCCACCTCCTGAGCAGATGTGCTTATCGCATTTGGCAGGAAGCTGCCCCTTCTTCAGTGAGCCAGGTACAGGCTGCCACACCAGAGCTGGTCATGTATGTCCCAGCGATGCCATGCCCTCCCCTTGAGTGCCCTCAGAGGTGTCACACCAGCAAGCTCAGGGGGCTCCCTGACCCCTCCCCATGAGGAACCTGCCCTGGGCTCCTCCTCAGTCCTTGGTGTTGCTTCCCCGAATCACCAGCTCTCCTGACACTGACAGAGAACACCCATGCACCCGTCCCATTTGGCAGCCTCATTCCTCTGCCCTCAGCCTCGCCAGCTTGCCAGCCCTTCTACTTGGCTCTTGCTTCACTTTTTGAGACTCAAAACAGGCCCCTTGTTGCTCTTCCCAGAACCTGTGAGCCTGTTGTATGTCCCATCCTCTGCTCCCATAGTCCCTGTTTCTGAATCCAGCATTGGATTCTGCACGGGGCAACACTTAGGTGTCTATCTCGTCCCCACTGACTCATAAGCTCTTAGAGTTGATTAGAGCACAGGTTCGACTGGGATATGCCTAAGAAAGAAGCACTGCAGCTGCTCGTAGATACTCTTTAAATATGTTCTGAATTGAATGCTTTCAGTTTGAAAGCCAAACCGAGTCTTTCATGATAAATGTTACTAAGCTTTCATTTTTTAAAGGCACATAAACATGCAGTGGTGTTATGTATGCAACTGTGATTTTTCACTCCAGTTTCTCTTGGATTTTGGGTTTTCCACATTAGTGGACAATTTGGCTGTAACCTGATTGCCAAGTCACTAGTATCCTTCACTCCCTCCTGTCTTCTCCGCCCTCCTTCTCCCATCATCCTTCTCATTCTCCTTTTTCTCCTCCTTTTCCTTCTCCTTGTTTTACTCCCCTCCCTTCTCCTTCTTCATCTTTTTTTTTTTTTTTTTTGGGTGCTGTGTTCCTCACTATTTCCTGGATGTTTTTCTAGTTGAATTTCCAGTCTGGATTACTTTACAGGTTATCTTGCCTCAATATTTTGTCATTTTTCTTATTATCACCTGTTAATGCCTTTATCTTTTTTTCTATATCTACCTTTCATATCTTCTACCATCTTCACTGTGGAATAATTCTTGATCTTTAGAAAAAGAAACAGTATTTATTATAAAGAGCTCCTTCTTCATCTTTCTCTCCTTTTTCTTTTCTTCTTCTCATTTTCTGTCTCCACTTTCCCCAGGCTCCCTCCCTGCTTCTTCCTCACCATCTCCAGCACTGACCTTTGCTGCTTTACTTTGAATGCTCCCTCATGAACTCTTTTTCTCCTTATAACAATTACAAAAAGAAATTCTAAAGGAGTTTTGCTTGTCTTATGAGGGATTTTTTTTTTACTCTATTATATGTTAGACTTTAACCCTTTCTGACACCCCTACTTGGTTTTGCTTTCTAGACCAGGAATCTCACTGTGGATGGAGCCTTTGGCATGTGGTCTCCGTGGACACCCTGCACGCACACAGACGGCAGCGCCGTGGGATCCTGCCTGTGTCGGACCCGCTCCTGCGACAGCCCGGCCCCACAGTGTGGGGGCTGGCAGTGTGAGGGCCCCAGCATGGAGATCGCCAACTGTTCCAGGTGTGCCCCCCAGAACACACCGGTTGTAGTGCTGTGTACTAAACTCAGATTCTTGAGGTGTTTGGGACATCATTTATAATATAACTCCCTTTTGGAAAGAACTGTGGTGAAACACCAGGGACATTCACCGCTTAAAAACTACATGTTCTTTGGAAGGAGATTTGAAACTATAAATTGGATTACAAACCCACACTTATTCACATACTCGTCATTAGAATAGGAAAAGTATTTATAATTTAAATAATACGATTGGCTTGTTTAAGGAAAACATCCATGTTATTTAAGAATCTTTTCCTGGAATATATGGACTAATAATCCATTGGTGGTAGAATAATAACACTAGGTTAGGAGATAGAATAACCCAAGTCCTTGATCAACTTGGTCTGCTCTGCAGTATATCGGAGCTCAGAGCACCTCACCTCAGCTAACATTAGGCCCTGGGTAATCGAGAGAGCAGCTGAAAGAACGTAACCTACTGAGTAGCTTTCCTGTTGCTTCTGCTTACTGTGGTGCTGTTGGCTTGATCGTTTTATGACTCTGTTCTGTGTGCGCTCCATCCCCTGCACCTATAGCACCTTCACCACAGAGACGTTTTAAAGCAAGTATCAGGGACACTTCTGAGATCAGTCTTCATGCTCCTTTGTCCCTTGTTCATTAATTTGCAGCATTTTTTAAACATATAATCTGCTTTCCGTTAGCCCATTTAAAATGAAAAAATAAAAATAAAAAACTCTGGGACAGTTGTTATGAAGTGACCAACAGTGGAAGTCAGACTGGGTGGTCCAATCGTAGGAGAGCCCAGGTCATGGAGGTGTGTTTGCCTAAGAGGAAGCAGACCAGGAAAGTAAAGTGCAGGAGCAAAAGGTGAACTTTGCCCTCTGCTCACATTTTTCTCACCACCAGGTGGAATGGAGCAAATCCAGGCCACAGAGATTAGGGGTTTTCTTTTGTATTACAGAGAAGACGGGCGTATCAACATTGTATTATGTATCGTATACTTCCTGTAAAACGAAATTATTTCCGTGGGTGCCTGGCAGAAACTTACAAAAGCGATCAAACTGCTGTTGTTTGAAGATTACAATAAGTAGCTAATACTCTTTTCTCAGATTGTTTAATGGAAAAAGAAGAGTATCAAATGCATTGCTATAACTTACTAATTGATGTGTCTTCAGTTCTCACATTAGTTGGAAAGTCATTTTCTAAGGAAAACTGCAGTGTAGCTAGTAGTTATTTTAAGATAAAAATCTAGTAAGTGAACTAGTTTGAATGAGGCATAAGTGGTTTGTTTTGTACTAATGATCATAACAGTGATCCCCCTCTTGGTCTCTGTTTACTTCGTGTGACTATTTTGGTAACTATGTCTGCTTCTAAACAGCATTTACAAAAATGGAAACTCAGATCTGGATAATACACATATACATGTAAAGCTGCATTCACTTACTTCCTCATATGTTATTTTCCTATTATATATAATTTTATTTACTTACTACCCTATAAGCAAACATGTTCCATATATTGTAAAGAGAATATGTCATAAAATTCCACATTTGCTAAAAGATTTAAGAAATGAGGAGTTTTTAAATGATTTTGAAAACACCATTTTCTGTATTATCTAACAACTTTTTTCATATATAATGAAATTTTGCAAGTTAAATGTCATTTATGTATATTTAAATTTTTTACTATAATTCAGTGAATTTAAGACTGTATCTAGCAGGGTATAAGACACTAGCTGATTTGAGAAATGTGGGAATGTTGTGTGATAATTTTGGTTAAATTATTATAAAACAGCTTTGTTATAATATACATAAAACTATTAATATTTATTTTATTAAATCATTAGATTTCAGTAAATAAAGCAGGAAAATATGAAATGTCTTAAGAATTTTCTCAGGAGAATTTTATTTGAAATTATTTTTACTATTATATATTCAATGCATTATTTATACCAGGACCTTCAGTGGCATAGTTGTAGAGCTTCGTGTTCTCAATGGAAATACAGAAAGTAAAAATGAGAATTAATGTGAGCTAATATTTTTTCAAAGGAAATGTAAATCTTATGGCCAAAGGTGACAAATATCCAAAGAAATGCATATGTGATTGCAGAAGTAAAAAAAAAAATTCTGCATGAAGTAGACTATCTATGTGTAAGTTTGGAATCTGGATTTAATACGTATTTTCACACATAAAATTTTTTTAAAACCTATATATATTTTTGATAGCAGGGACAAACTGTTAAGGGGGGATACTTAAGTTATAAGCAGTCCGAATACAGTCATTTTAAGGAAAAAATACAATATTAAAACATTTCGAGGGCTGTCAATAGGATTTTTAAAAATTTTAAAATTGGTTTATTCAATTTTCATTTTATATTTTTATATATCTACGGTATTCTATATGTGTAGTGCCATAAATACTTAGTTTGTTATATGCAATTTACACTTCTTATCTGCACTCTTTATGTCTCTGTCAGTTTGTTAAAAGATAGCCAAGAATCTGAATTTAAATGTCCTTTTAACATTTTTAATAAAGCTTGTTTTAAGGCTTTCAACATTATTCGAACAATACAACACTCTTTATCAATATGAATGCTCTCAGGAGAGTTACTAATTTTCACTGATATTAATAGATTTTAAAAGAAACCATGTTAGGCAGTTTCAGATGAGCATTTTGTTCAAAGGTGACTTTTCATAGATTATAAATGATATAACGCAAGTCCAAAAAGTCAGAAATTCTAGAGGAGGAGGGATTCATTTCTAAATGCTTTTCAGTGAAATAAACTTATTTTTTATTAGTTTAGTATTTTCATAACTCAAGTTTCTTGGTAGTTTCTAATGTAGTTCATTATTTGTAGTGCACTAAAAACTTTATTCCCAAATTTCCTCTCTTGACTATAAACCAGATGCCTGGGGGCTGCAGACACAGGAATTGAGATTCCCAGGGTGTCCATTCAGCCCATGGCTGGTGTTCCCTCTGGCCAGCAGCCCCAGGCACGCTTCTCCTGGGAACATAGGCGTTTAGCCGTGGGTGCAGACAGGGCTCGGGCTCCGAGCCCACCTGACCTGTGATTGCATTGCTTCCCCTTCCTCAGGAATGGAGGCTGGACTCCTTGGACCTCGTGGTCTCCCTGCAGCACTACCTGTGGGATCGGCTTCCAGGTGCGGCAGCGCTCCTGCAGCAACCCCACTCCCAGGCACGGGGGCCGGGTGTGCGTGGGACAGAACCGCGAGGAAAGGTACGTGCCCACCCTACTGCCAGCACTGTCAACATCACGTTTACTCTCATTCTGGCCAGATCGAGTTCCTGTGGTTTTAGCTTTGGATCCAGCTTAGCTCATGTATGGCATCCCTTTCCGTTGTGCCAGTCGTCCTCTTCTTTTCCTGGCATACTTTAATTGTGATCGCAGCCTTATTGACAGCTACACTGGGCTGCTCTGGTGCCTACACAGCTGGGTTGGCTCCACTGAGCAATTGCTAAGGAATTAGAGACCCAGGGACCTCTGTGCTGTGCTAGGCTCCTGGAGACTCTGGAAGTGCCCTGCAGGAAGCTTATTCGTGTGAGAATTCAACCAGACCCATCTCAAAGCTTCAGTTCCGAGGAGGACCTATGAAGGTCCCAGATGCAGACACTATTGGGCAGGTGCGGTAAGGTTTTTATCAGAACTTGGTTAATCCTCTGAGAGGCACAGAAGGGCATTATCAGAAATATTCTCAATGAAGCTGCAGCACTACCCAAATTGGGGGTTCTTTCCCAGGTGTATGTTGACCTTTCAGCACATCATGGCAACATTTTCATTTTGTCTTGGATTTAACAATTTGTTTCTTGGTGTAGAATTAGACATTTGATTTCAGGTTTAACCTCTGCAATCATAATCATTGAATCTGTTTTGTAAGATCATCGAATCTGTCTTAATATGTGTTAAGTATACTATTAATGTGTATTCCAATTTATCACTATTGGGAAAGAATCCAAATAGGTAAATTTCATAGTGCTTTCAGGACACTTATTCTGCTATACTAACATAAACTTACTGAATGGCTTCCAGTGCCTTTTAATTAACATGTAGTAGGTTTGTTTTTGGTGACATGAGCTCAGTGGAACCTCGAATAAAAATATTGTGTACAGTTATTGCTATGGCATTAGTATTTATATGAACAAAAGCAACAGACTTACTGTTTAGTTAGCAGTTAGCTATTAGGTATCTATTACAACCTTAAGTCAACTAAGGGGACTCATTCCTTTCTTTCCAGTGTGCTCCTCACTTGCCAATTAAGATTTCACTCCTTTTGACTAAGAGGAAATGAGGATGGTTTTACCAAGCAGGGTTTGTCATTTTGGCAGCAGTCCTTGAGATAGTCTTGTGCGAGCCTGTCATTTTCTAACACCAGTTGATAAGTGGGAAAGCCTATTATAGAAGAATCGTCTCCCTATTATTTCCAAGCCTTGTACAATTTTAAATTGCTTGGAAGTTTTTAAACGCTGTAAATTGTCACCTAGTACAGGCTGAGCATCCCTGATCTGAAAATCTGAAACCCAAAGTACTTCAAAAACTAAAACTTTTCTAGCACTGACATGATGCCACAAGTGGAAATTTCACACTGTTTTCATTTATTTGTTTATTTATTTTAACTTTTGCAGTCAAAAAACTTTTGACTGGTGGCAGTCAAAATGCAGACAAAATTTTGTTTTATGCAAAAAATTATTTAAAATACAAAAAACTGCCTTCAGCCTTTGTGTATATGGTGTATACGATGCATAAATGAATTTTGTATTTAGACTCAGGTTCTATCCCCAAGATCTCTCTCTCTCTCTCTCTCTATATATATATATATATACACACACACACACACACACAGACATACACCTAAATATATATATACACACACACACACACACACACACACACATATATATATATTCACCAGTATTCCAAAATCTGAAACAATGTGAAATCCAAAACCCTCATGGTCCTGAACATTTCAGCTAAGGGATGCTCAACCTCTTCAGCCCATCCAGGCAAAGTCACTTCCCTTTGTGCAAAGGCTTCCCTGGAGTCAAGACACCACCACAAACTTAGCGTGTGTTATCACTGTTCCCGGCTGAAGGCACAGGAAGGAAGAGGCGCTTTAGTCCTGTGGCGAACATATGTGTAGGTTTGTATCCACATAGGATTTTTCATACAGCGATGTATTCAGGAAAAGAGGAATAAAGATGGCAAGTGTGTTTGAGGAACTCACATGTAAAATATTCCTTTTGTAAAAAAAAATGTTCATTTGTAGATTAGCATTTGCTCAATGGAGGAAAATTTGAATTTAAATAATAGATGGACGGTAAGAACAGGAACTATGTAAAATTTTTATAAAATGTAAGCTTGTCTATTAAATAGTCTTTCTAGGGGGCCTACTGGGAGCTTAATGAAAACCAGAAAAACCAAGTACCTAAAGTTTCCTCTGTGGTCTTCATATGCAATGAGTTCTGAGATTTCCCTGCCACGTTAAATAAAAGGTCTCTCTACGTAGGAAACGTAAAAGCATTCTGATTCCAACAATGGAGATATTCGAGGACTAAACTCAGGATTGAAGGAGAACATGATCTCCATGGGCCAATACAAAAGACCAAGAAGTACACATACAAAATAATTAATTTATATCATATCAATTTAAACAACATCAGCCCTCAAGAAATCCTGGGTGGCCACAAGCCAATGACTTGTTTTTTTCCAAAAGATTCCCTAAGTTAAGGGTAGGATCATAGGTAGTGGTTTTCCATCTGGGACATCTCCAATGTGTGGAATTATTTGATGGGAGCTTTGTGGCAACCAAATTTCAGAAGCATTCACATTAGTTTTCCTGAAAAACATCTCTAGTTTAATTTTTACATGTACTTTAGAATGTACAGATACTTTGTTTTTCTCTTCTGAAATTTCCTTGAAAATATTTTCTTGAGCAGCAAGAACTGAGTAGAAGCACCAAGTCCCAGAGAGGCTACTAAGAAAAGGAAGAAATGGACCTCTGTAAATATTATCAAGATGCAAATGTTATTATCTTTGCTAGTTTTCTCCTGCTATGGAATAGTAGTTCCATAGACTCTTTGTCTCAAAACAACACACATTTCTTTTAGAAATCTCACAGTCCCATGGGTCAGGATTTCCTCTATGACTTAACTAGATCCTCTGCTTGGCCCTCAGTAGACTTCAATCAAACCATGGGTTAGAGCTGTGGCCTCATCTGAGGCTACACTGGGGAAGGATTCACTTCCAAGATCATGTGGTTGTTGTTTGTATTCAGTTCTTTGCGGGCTGTCGAACTGTATGTCTCAGTTCCTTACAGAGTTGTTATCCAGAGACCACTCTCAGTTTCTTGCCAAGGGATCCTTCCTGGTGTTGTCACTTGCCTTTACAAATCCAGCAAGAAAGACAGTCTCCCTGCAAGGTGGGCTTTACACACTTAATGTAACATAATCACAAAAGTGACATCCCACCCCTTTGCCATCTTGTTGGTTGGAAGTAAGACACAGGCCTCCATAACCTAGAGGAGGTGATGACACAGAGTATGAACATCAGGAGGCAGAACTCACTGGGGCCACCACACAGTCTATCTGCCATGGTTGATTCTCTGTTCTCTAGTTATTCGTATCCGTGCCCTTCATGTGCTGAATGCATTTCACCCACTTTCAAGGTCCTTCAGTCTTATCGCACTAACCCATTTCCCCAAAGTCCAGAACCTTATCATTTACATCAGGCCCACATGGAAGAGGCTGTCGGGGTGTAGTCCCCATCAGTCTGTTAATCTCTAAAGTCAAAGAGAGAAGTTATCTGCCACCTGCACACTTGGAGAGTGAAGCAAAGGATGATAGCTTTAGACATTTCAAAAAGGCAGTTGGAAGGTGGGAGAAATGGATATTATAAAGGAATCACTGTTCCATATAAATTCTGGAATCTAGCCGAGCAAGTGTTGGTAGTTGCTTAATTAAGTTCAAGGAGGAGGCATAATGCTCCGTGGTTCCTGGCTCTGCCTTCTGGTCTCTTAGTTCCGCTTCCCAAATCATCCTTTCTTTTTCTTGAAGGGAGCATGTGCTTACAGCTGAGTAGTTTTTATTTTTATTTTATTTTTTATTGAGACCGAGTTTCGCTCTTGTTACCCAGGCTGGAGTGCAATGGTGCGATCTCGGCTCACCGCAACCTCCGCCTCCTGGGTTCAGGCAATTCTCCTGCTTCAGCCTCCCGAGTAGCTGGGATTACAGGCACGTGCCACCATGCCCAGCTAATTTTTGTATTTTTAGTAAAGACGGGGTTTCACCACATTGACCAGGATGGCCTCGTTCTTTTGACCTCGTGATCCACACTCCTTGACCTCCCAAAGTGCTGGGATTACAGACGTGAGCCACCGTGCCCAGCCTACAGCTGAGTAGTTTTATCAGCTTCCTTTCTGTCAGTAGAATGTGTGGGGTTTCAGCAACCTCTCATATGTACTTTCTCTGTCCCTTTCCATCCAAGCTGCTGGTATCTTTGTGGAAATAAGTTTCTGAAAAATGTTATGGGTCTTTAGTGGATTTCTGCAAAGTTTACTCCACTAAACAAAAGCTATATTCACAGACCTTTTTGAGATAACCCTTCTCAACCCTGGGATGCTGCTGAGATGGCTGAGAGACAACACCTTCCAGCTCACTAGAGGTGACCTGATGTAGTTGAGAGGATCTGTGAGGCACAAACTTGCTCTAGAAAGGACCCTTTATGTAACTCAATACTGCTCTAACTCTTTCATCTTTCTGGGGTTGCAATAAAAGGTTTTACAATCACTACCTCAGCTTTTATTATATTCCAGCTGTCCCTAACAGTACTTGAAAGGACTGTGAAAGCTATTTCATACTTTTTTGCATCTTTTGCCATTAAAAGTAGCTGATTTCCAAAATCATCCAGTCTCTGTTCTTTTAGTTTAATAATCCATTCCTCAGTCTTTCTTTCCTCGCCTACATTTCACTTAAGCAGCATGAAGAAACCAAGAAGCACCTTCAACACTTTGCTTGGAAATTTCCTTAGCTATGCAATTCAACTTATGTGTTTTGCTTTTCATATTACAATAGGTAACAATTTTGGCAGCTTTCATCCATTATGTTGTGAGATTCTCCCTTTTTCCAATTTCTGATAGCATTTCTGATAAAAGAAAACAGGGCTCTGTTTTCTTTTAAAGTTTTTATTGTGATTTTATACACACACACACACACACACAGAACCAT